AGGGGGGGGGCGGGGGGAGAAAATGGATTCTCGGGGGTTATGGGGCCCCGGCCCCGGGAGGGGGGGGGTTTGGGAAAAAACCCTCGGGGTTTTCCCAATTGGGGGGGCCCCAATAGGGGGGGGGGTTTATTTTAAAAAAATATTTTTTTTTTTTCTTCAAGGGGTTTGCCTGGGGGGGGGTTTTTGGTCCCTGGCGGTTTTTGGTTTTTTTTTTTGGGGGGTTTTTTTTTTTTTTTTGGGGGGTTCCGGGGGGGGGCCGGGGGGACCCCCCCCATTTTTTGGGGAAAAAGGTTTTTGGGGGGTGTTTTTTTTTTTGGGGGGGTTTTTCCCCAACAGGGGGGGGAAAAAATTGGGGTGGGGGGTTTTTTTTTTTGTGGGGGGAAAATTGGGGGGGGGGGGGGGGGGGGGGGGGGAATTACCCCCGAATCCAACTTCTTTGTGCTCTGATTTTGCTAACGGTAAAGCGATGTTTCGCTTACAGCAGCGGGTGTCGGCGGAGAACAGGTTGAGGTACTTGTAAGGAGGAGGGACTTTCTCCAGTGAAAAGAAAAAGCTAGAACGTTCGTGACGGGCCTCCTATACGTCTCCAAAACTGCCCCAACACACACGGGTGCTACTCAAAAGAAGCACGTTTAGTGTTCAATCGTGGAGTCAAAACGAAGGCACCGTACCGCCGGTGCGGCCTGGCCGCTCTGCATGGCTTGCTCTACCGCCCATTCTTGCGTGTGGGTGCTACGAAGTTCTTGAGAGAAAGAGAAATGAGCAACACAGAGAAAGAGAGAAGAGACAGAGGGAGAGGGAGAGAGAGAGAGAGAGAGAGAGAGAGAGAGAGAGAGAGAGAGAAACAGAGAAGTAGCTTGTGGTGAGTCTGTGAGTCTGTGCGTGGTGCCATCACCATCGGATCGGTAGCACAGTCAGCCAGAGTTTTGAAATCTAGAATACGTACCGCAACAACCTTCCTGCAAGGTGCACAAACCGACACACCGGCAGCGGCATATTCCCCGTCCCTTTCCCGCAAGCTGCTTCATGAGAACTGGGGCATTTAGGATCTAAATTCCGAACCTTGGCGAGCCCCCCCTCTCTTGTGATGCAGCATTACTAGCGGACAATCTCGCAGCACACGACTCACCGACAATCTATGACGCAAAATCATGTGCTAGCATACCTCCTCTTGCACGTAAGACCGAAACGACGGTACCCTCTGCCTTGTGCGAACAGACAGCAGGATCCCCCGCAGCGGCAAAATTGATTTCACCAATTCCGAATTTGAAACCGATTGCGGCTGATAAACTTTTACAGTCAAGCCTCCTCTGCTTCTGGTGTTGTTTGCTGCTGAGATTGAAGTGCGGTGAGAAAGCCGCAGTCTGCAGCTCGGGCCACAACAACGACACAAGGTCAGGCGGGCTATTTTCGTCGGAGGAATCGGGAAACGTTGGCGTACTAAGAATAGACTATACCGCTGTCATGCCGTAGTCCATGTAGTTGATCCCGATCAAGGCCCGCTCTCACGCGTGTTGAGTGTCGCACAGCGAAGGAATGGAGCGGGACACCAACAACGGATGCAACAGACAGAGTACACACAACTCCAACCTGGAAACAACGCGACCTCAACAAACTTTCCAACACCTTTTGGAGTGCGGGTAGACCCGTCGCGACACGAGATCGGTAAACAAGCTTAAAAATAGGCGGCATAGATTGTGACTTCTTGCTCAAACGAAAAATGCAAATGGTTGAGGAAGCGCGAAGCCAGAGCGGCCGCAGCGAGAGCTGTCACCGTACCTAGCTTGTATGTAGCTATTTAGCAGTAGCAGCGAAAGGGCGATCGTCACTAACCCTGACTCAGCCATGCCCCGTACATACAACGCGAGCACCATGCCCCAGCGCCCCACATCGTAATCCTCGTGGACCCGTCCACCGAGAGAACACCCCGTTTTCTTGCCCTTCGTCTGACTGAGGATCGGCAACATCAACAACGTCGTCGGCGAGTAGCGGTGTTTGTTTTTAAGCGTCGTTGAAAATGTCCCGGTCTTCCTTTTGTTTGTACCTTGTGTTGCATTCGCACAGTCGATCAGAACACCAAGGCAAGGCCAGAGCCAACGTATCACGTGAACTGCTGCCTTCATTTGTGCCAAAAAAAAATGAAAAGGAGAGACGAAGTCTTGATAATAAATAGCTACTGTATAGTTGCTCTTTTTCCGAGGGAAGTCGGAAGTTGTTAAGCATATAGTCTATCCGCCGACCTTTTCTCAAAGAGTTGGCCGATCGTGAAGACCAGAGGTGTGTGGCGCCGTTGAAATTTTCCAGTTGTCCCTCAACGTTCATGATACGAACGAACGATATGACGGTGTCAACGAGAATAGCCACACACAATGAATGGTCGGTGGGCGCAATGACGGGCTATTGTAGCTACCCTGCAGTTGAACCAAGGGCGTCCTGCCGAAGGATCACGTGCACATGGCTCACGTATATTATGATGGAAGTTCTATCAGGTACAGTAATCACATCTATTTGCTGCAAGAATTACGCAGGCGGCTCTCGGCTGCAACCGGCGGCCACCACCAGAGCTGCGCACGCCCGTGTCGGTCGCTGGGCGGCCAATGAGATGATGGCCGCACATGGTGCCCATGGATGTGTATACATATATATGCATACGTTGCTTGACATGCTGCATCTCCCCGGCCCGGACGAGAGTCCCAACTCACGCCGCCGCCTGCGCTGTGCAGCAACCTTCGACCCGGATGTGCCGCGTCATGAGCTCGCGTACTGCGTGCTGAGTGATCTCCTTTGTGTCACTACAACACCATCAAACAAGAAAGAACGGTGCCCCGAGAGAGTCCGAACAATAATAGCAGTCGTGAGTGGGTTTTGGTCGAGTGCATGACGGAATCGCTGTGTGACTCTCGCACCGCGCCCACAGTATGTACACGTGCGCCTCTAGATGCCGCAAGTAACAAGGGTATAATATATCTCAATCCACATGTCGCGGTTGTCCCTATCGGCGCTGTTCCTCCTTGCAGCGCCAAGTGAAGCGGCGTGGAATCGCCAAGGGAAACTACGCGTCGCTGGAACGTGCCGCTCCTGCCTTCACCAACATCTATCTTTTTGGATATTTTTGGATACATATTTACTTCTACATGTACGGGGGTGCACCATACTATTTATTTGACTTCGGAGCCGCTGTTGTTGGGAAGGCACCGGACGAATAACACCCGATGCAACCCACGAGCTGGCGGGGTACAGGTAGTAAGCAGGACAGCAGACAGCGCAGCACTGAGCAGCCACAGGCCAGGTCAGTGCTGAGTGGCAGTTGGAGGTGTAGCAATCGGGAGGTCCGTGCGTGAGGATCTGAGGACCTACACCCCCTATCAAACATAATCATTCCCATCCTTGGGCCCCCTAGGACGCAGTTCAGCTCGTTGCACACCACAGCATGTCAGTCAGTGTCCTCTTGTACAAAGAGGCCGTGCTGCGTTCTCAGGCGATCTCCAACGCGCACCATGTCTCGGAAGCGGGGCCGGAAGGGAGCGGGAGGGGGCCAGCGATGGGATGCTCTGCCTTGGAAGACTATTGAGCCCCCTCTCGAGGTGAGCGAGAGGCATCGACAGACCTGGATGTAGGCATACCTATGATACCACAGCCCCGCAGCTGTTCGTAGACAAGTTGCTGTTGCTGTTTTACGCGATGGTTTCCAAGGCCTACACAGGAACCTCAATGACGGTGGCGGGTGGGGGCGGGTGGGTGTGCGCAAGAAGCAACAAGTAAGTAGCGTCTGCCGCCGCAGCTTGATATCACAGGTGCAGTTGGTTACGGCGGCGTCTCTTCTTGCAGTGGCCCAAAGTGAGCCAATCGGTTCCACGTGCGTGTCTTCTCTCTGGTGCGCCCACACCGGCGGTTGCCTGGAACTTTGACGTCGTGGACGAAACGGGAGGACCGACCAACGCCAACGTACCTTCCGCGTGATTGGTGACTGGTCGTGTCGTACTCTACTCTTTGCAAAATCGAGGAGCGTTTTTCGTTTTTCCTCGCGGCGGGACTGTCAAGTTTTCTGCGGCTGTACGCCCTCGATGCCTCGATGCCTCTATGACAGGTCTGTGCATGTGTTCAAGGTTCTACTACTGGTGTCTAGGCGGGGTGACTTCGATAGACAAGACGAATAGTGATGGTAGTGGTGACGTGGTGACTGCTTGCCCGATTATTAGGGTTGTGGCGTGCACGTAAATCCTCGTCGAGCATCAGTTGGGAGATGGATAGGAGCAGCACACGACCACAGCAACTTCGTGTTTGCTTAAACTGCGAGTGATAACACCACGTTCCGTGGGCATGCACCTACGCAGCAGTATCTACAAAGAGTGTCTCCGCACAGTGCCTCCCCAAGTTTTGCAGCATGGATGGAGAGTTTTGAGCCAGAAAAGAGCTAGAAAGGCACACCACAGCAGCAGCAGCAGCATCCGCCCAAGAAAACGCGACCTTGTACCGTCGTATCTCCCTCTTGTACCCTCTGGCGGGCCTGGTACAGCTGTTCCTCTCCGTATTAGGCATCCTGCTCGCTCGCTGCAAATAGTTGATTGACCGTGCCGAATTAACGCGTTACAATACCGTCTCCCTCTGCTACCCTTGGCGGATACCTACTGCTGTGCAACCTCCGTTTTGTGTTTTATCCTGCTCACTCGCTGCACTCGTTTGATCGCCGTGCCGAATACCCGTCACGTTCCAGCGCGACGATGGCTGGCAAGGCATGGCGGGAGAAGAGCAGGCCCTGCTCTACACGCTGGAAGAGATTTCGGGTAACGACTACTGCCTGCGCGAGGACTCTCTGGGAGGTTCTCAGGTGGGTGCCGAAAGAATCGGAATGGTCACGATGCCATTATATTGTCGGGAGTCTCTTGCGGGAGGTTCGAAGGTGCAGAAAAACATACGATTTGAATCATCACGATGTTGTTTTGTACGAAGTACTTCTTCTGAGGATGTCACGAGATGGACGAGACATGGAAGTATGTCCCCGTCTCCCTCCCCTTCCAATTCGCTTCGCGCTGCTTTGTGCCGTGTACGTTGAGTTCACATGATGTGGATTGACACCTCAAAACGCCCACCCTCTAGCAGGAGAGATCGTTTTTGGCTATCATTTTATGTCAGGTAAGTGGTAAGTCAATTGGAACGGGCGCTAAAGGTAACGGGCTGGCCGAACGTATCGCCCGTTTTGTTAAACCTGCCGCGCGAGATGCTCGTTTGTTGCGTCCAAAGTGTTGAACGTTATTTTACACCGTCGTTGCTCGTGTGCCGGCTCCCAGATGGTGGTCGCGCCGACCACTCCGAGTGCCGAAGACATGCCGCCCGCCGCGCAAGACTCTGCCGGCGGCGTCGGCGGCGGCGTCGGCAACGGGAAAGAGGGCGACGCCGGAGATGCTGGCGGCAAGAAGGGCAGGAAGCGCAAGGCCCCCTCCGCTCTAGCAGCGGCGAGCGAGGGTGGCAGCAGCAGCAAAACGGAAGGCGGGACGGCTTCTTCTTGGACGAACGGAGGTGCCAAAGGAACGGAAAAAGATGGGCATGGCGCCGGCGGTGACGACGACGGCAATGCAGCCGTCGAAGGAGGGGGAGCGGAGAAGACAACGGAGGATGGCGACGGCGACGGTGAACCTGAGGCCTCCAATAAAGGGCCGAAGAAGAAGAAGCGGAGGGGCCAGGGGAAGAAGAAGAGGGCCGCGGAAGCTCGCGCGGCGACCGCTGCTGCTGCTGCTGCTGTAGCGGCGGCGGGGTCAGCACCACCCCTGGGGGATGGCGGCGGCAGCGCCAACGCAGCCGCGGTAGACGATGCTGGTGGTCCTGGCGCCCCTCCGCCGCCGGCTGGCTTGGAGACGGTGGGGCGAAAGCAGCAGCAGCAGCAACAGCAGCAACACGCCGGAGAGCAGACGGCCGAAACCGCTGCCGCTGCCGCCGAGAAAGGAAAGACGAAGCCAGAAGCGACGACCAAAAAGAAAAAGAAAAAGAAGAAGAAGAAGAAAAAGAACGCGCGAGGAGAGGACAAGGGCGGGGAGGAGGCCGCCGAGGTAGGGCAGAAGAAGAGCGAGCGGGACTGGGAGCTTGGGTCGGAGGAGGCGGCGAAGATGGCGCCCTGGATGTACCTTGGGGTGGAGCTTCACCCCGCCCTGTTGTGGCATCTTCATCGACAGGTGGGTGATGTTCGATGTTGGATCTGTTGCTTGTTGTTGTTGTTGTGCTCGCACTAACAACCCTTTTCTACCTCGAAGATGCTGTTGACTGTGGTGCTGGTCGCTCCCTCATGTTGTTCTGGCCGTTGCCTCAAGCACTCACTCCCAGGCGCTCGCCCCCTGACGAATCTAGCTCCTTCCGTGGTTATCTATCCCCCCGCCATGCAGCTCGACGCCCCCCTCCCTCCCTCCCCTTTCCTACAAGGCAAAGCAGAGAAGAGATGCACGACGAGGAGGGTGTCGTTGTACGGACGGACGATCGTAGAGGTGTCAAGACCAGAGTAGCCCAAATGGTTGCATTGTTTTCTCTCCCACGCGACACACGGTCAAGAAATGATTAACTCGTACTTGCGCTAAGAAGCAACTAACCCCGTAGGAGAAACGGTTGGACACGGGTGATTTGGTCCTGTGGGAACAACGCTCCGTCCTCTCGAGGACGGACGCACGGTCGATGGTCGCACCGCTTGAAGGCATGCAAAAACATTAGCACTCCTCCCCTGTCCCTCCTTGTCCCCTTGGAACCTCCTCTCATGTATTTAGGGCTTCCATGACCCCACCCCCATCCAAAGACGAGTGCTGCCCAAGGCGGTGTTGGGGCGCAAGGACATCATCGGGGCGGCGGAGACAGGGTCGGGAAAGACCTTAGCCTTCGGGCTCCCGGTCCTCAGCGAGATACTCACGCGGCGGGACGCCGCCGCCGCTGCTGCCAGGTTGGCCGAGGGGGAGGAAGCTGACCAGGGGGAGGGGGAAGAGGAGGAGGGGGAGGGTTTGCACGAAGGTCTGCAGGCGTTGGTGCTGTGCCCAACGAGGGAGCTGGCGCTTCAGGTGGCGGCGCACCTGAGGGAGGTCGTGCGGGACACGGGCGTCGCGGTGGTGGTGAGTGGCTCTGCTGCTGCTTCCTTTCCATGTTGCGGTCGGTGAAAGTTGGAGTTGTTCCCCAGTGTTGTTGATGCACACGGTGATTTTTTTTGGGTGGGTGCCGCTGTCTCGGTTGGCGCGCTGCGATCTTCTTTTGTCGCGCTCATTTTTACTGGGTGTTTTTGACAGCGGTTCTGCTGGTGCTGCTGGTGCAGCTGCAGTCGCTTGCTTCCCTCCTCCTGGGGTGGCGTAGGGAGATAACGCTTATGTGTACACGGCTGTTGGCTTGTGTCTTGTGCATTGTATTTCGCGAGGCGCGTTGACACAGCAGCGTTTTCGTTCTTTACCCCCTCCTGCGCGCACATGGAAGCCACCCGTCGGTGGCGAACTCGTTGAGGTAGAGCAAGCATCGTGAATATGCCATCATGGTGCGCTACACTATTGGAGTAGCGGTTTGCGTTATTTTCGTGTTCTACATGGCACGTGATCACGTCATCCAACATGTAAAAAAATACGATGCACACGCGCCCGCTAGCCCCCCCCCCCCCCCCCTTGGGGGTTCTAGTCCATCCTTGGCGAAAGTAGCCCGGGCCGGGGAAAAACCCCGCATCCGTATTGCGCCATCCCGGGATTTGGTTGGGCAATGGTCTGGAAGTCAATGGGCCAACGACTACGGGGTGGGTTTTAAATGAGGGGATTCTCCCCCCCCCCGGGCTAAAAG